CTTTACTCATTTCTCTTCTGTCCACCCCGAGTTTTACCCTATAGAAAGATAAAACGATGCGAGGCGCATTTCTTCCTTTCATCTGAGACAGGCACTGGTTTTCTCTCACAGCCTGACAGCTCAAAGGCAACATTGACCTTCACCAAGAAGAGAACAAGCAACAAAATAAACACAGGCGAAACTACTCCCTCAGTTCTTTAGGAAAATTTACATGACTGACTCCTGCTTAAGTATAAAAATCTTAGAAAGTTTTTTTTCCAACTGTTTTTACTGTGGTCTCTTATGTTAGATTTTAAGCACAGCTGTGGTTGTTTCCATAGTCCTTCAAATGTGTGAGCCCTCCAAAAGTAACCTGAAAAAAAAAAGCCATATTAGACTGAATGGGTGGCAGCAGATACCTAACACAGCAAGTTCTCCATGCTATCTGAGACCTACAAATCAAAGAAGAGGTGATTCATAATTTATCAACACACACGCGCGCACACACACACACACACACACACACACACACACACACTCACACGCTATTTGAAAATTTGGAGATACAATCTCATTAAACATGTAGAAAGCCTTTTGGGGGGGGAAATGTGTTTTCTTCCACAAAATATATTGAATTGTCATACTTAGCGTGCTCAATGGACTTTTGTTGTGGGGAATTGTACTTTTACAATAGAATCTCACATATCCCAGGACCTACCTCAAACTTAATTTATGACCATAGTTGGCCTTGGACGCCTGATCTCTGTGTCTACCTCAGGAGCTATTAGCTTTTACAATGAGATTCAACCTTCAAATGATGTTCCTGTTCAACTAAGTATTGTCTAATGGACTTCCTTTTCACACATACATTTTTTGAGACAGGGTCTCATTATGTAGTTCTGGATGGCCTGGAACTCACTGTGTAGACCAGGCTGACCTTGACTTGCTGAGATCAGCCTGTCTCTACCATGTCCTGGGATCAGCAGTGTGTGCCACTATGCCTGGCCCTTCTCATGTGCTTGAAGGCAGCTGAGCATTGTAACCACGCCTTGTACAGGCGTCTGCTTTGTTGCTGAAGCCTGCTTCTTCCTGTGAGTCTCCCGACAGTCCAGAGAAGCAACAGCCAGATCAGCAAACACCTCAGAGTCACAGGAAGCCTCAATTCTGCCTTTCACTGTGGATGGCTCAGACACAGCCATATGTCAGATCATATTTCTGGCAAGATCCCTTCATAGTTTCTAGGCTAATTTGGTTTCATGCAGTTGTGCAGTATTATATAACATAGTAGCCTGGTCATGGCCAAAGGCAACAGCATTGTCAGTTAGAATTCTTCATTGACATTGAATGCCAGATTATGGGTTCCTCTTGTCATGAGACTTTATATCCCCCGGCCAGTCTTGTCTTCTGTGTTTTCAAATGTCTTATGTTTAAAATGTCAGCCACTAAAATAGCTCCTCCTATGGGGTCGTTGGACAGTTGTGCTTCTCAAGATTGGACTGTGGTGATGGCCATTCTTTTGAGCATAGTCAAGCACATGCGTTGGTCCTACTAAGGACACTGCCCAGTGCTGTGTGAAGAGAGGTGCCTCAGAAGCAGGGACAGAGCTGAATCTAAACACTAGGTCTAACTTGCTTTAGCTCTCCGTTCCTTCATTTATAAAATGAGGATAGTGATTACCACAAAATGACATTGTAAAGAATTAAATGAGGGACTGCGAAAGTAGCCTAGTTGGTAAATACTCACCGTGCAAGCATGAGGGCCCGAGTTTGAGCCCCAGAAACCAAGTAAAAATGCTAGGTGTGGTGGCACATGATTGAAAGGCCAGCGCTGGAGTGGCGGTGACGGGAGGATGCCTGGGCTCACTCCCCAGCCAGTGACCGGCAAGCTTCACACCAGTGAGAGACCTTTGTCTCTCAGAAAGCAGGTAGAGCCAAAGTGAAGCCGGCAGATGTAGAAACAGTTACCCAGGGTAAAGTGTTACAGAGGGGAAATGCTTGGGCTTAGTGAGACGGCTCTGAACAAAGGCGCTTGCTGCCAAGCCTGACCACCAGAGAGCCATCCCTGGGACCCACATGGCGGAAGGAGAGAATTGGCTTCCACAAGTTGTCCCCTGACCTCCACATATGCAGGCGCACATCCTGTACACAAACACACATTGAGTAAAATAAATGCAGTGTGAACAATAGTAGTATAAAGAAAGCATGGACACTGACCTGGATTCTGGCCTGGTACACAAGACAGCACTGCTGCTTAGTAGAAGCCAGGCAGCACCTCCGAAATTTTAATTTGGAGGAGTTACAGGAGGCGGGTGATGTCCAGTAAATGGTCGTCTGTATTGCCCATGAGATCAGACAATGGCACCAACCGGAGAGGTTGATTTGGCCTTAGAGTGCAGCCCAGGGCTGATCAACCCAACTGCTGCCCGTCTTCCTTCTCTTTGTGACAGCTAACGCATGCGAGGCTCTCTCAGTGTTTACTGAGTTGACATTACTCTCACTACAGCTTGAACCTTTGATCTTTTCTGTATTTGCTTTAGAGGGAAAGTTAATCTGTTTAATCTCACTCAGCAGCACACAACTTTGAGTGAAGAGGCCAGCCTAGAGATGGTCAGCAAGTAAAAGCACTTGCTGCCAAGCCTAGTGACCTGAGTTTAGTCCCCTGGACCTTCGGAGTTGAAAGAAAGGACCATCAGCCCTGCCCAGGGGCATACGAAATGATACAAAGCAATCAAAAAGAGGTGCTAGCCTAACAGTGTTTAATTAGCAAACTACTTCTTGATGAGACTGTCACATCATTTCTGCAGACGGACACAAAACCGGCCTGCCAGGCATGGTGTTACATGCCCCTAATCCCTGTACTTGGGAGGATTAATCACAGATTCAAGGCCAGCCAGGGATACATAGTGATACTGGTTAAAAGAAGAAGAAGAAGAAAAAGCAAACAACAAAGTTAACTGTTGTTTGGTTGTCTTAATCCGCCAGCCTTCCAGTTTGCAGGGAAATTATATAGAGAAGTTTTGGTACTCCTCTACATGTGGATGGGCTTGGTACTTCCCTGAGCTGGATGCATGTTGTGAGGAAGCCCATTTGGGAGCTATTTTTGGTCAACTTTTTTTTTTCCAAGACAGGGTTTCTCTGTGTATCCCTGGTTGTCCTGGACTCACTTTGTAGACCATCATAGCCTTGAAATCACAGGGATCCGCCTGCCTCTGCCTCCTGAGTGCTGGGATTAAAGGTGTGCACCAACACTGCCCAACTTGGTTAACTCTTTATGGGGGTTGGGGGGACAAAACCAAAAACTTGTGAGATAAGGGTGCTAGAAAGTAGTCTAGTATGTTCATAGCAATGACAAATCAGTTCTTGTGTCCTCTAGGCTGAGCACAGTATAGCTGCCCTGCTGATTGGTTGAATTATGTGAAAGGGTTGGTACCTTGGAATTGCAGAATGTTTTCATAGATGTTATTGTATTTGATCCTCAGACCTCTACAAGCCCAGCTAAATGTTAGTCTCATTTAAATATGAGGAAATTAATATACTATTAGCCAAAGTATTTTATGTGTCTGGTCTAAAGACAGCTAGATTCCCAGCCTCTCAGTTCTGGTGCCCTGTGTAATAGTTATAACTGACTAACGAAGGATGTTCTCGTCTGATTCGGCATGTCCCTGTTTGAGATGCTCTTCACTTGCCTATTTGAAGGTGCTCAGGAGTTAAGTGGGATCTAGAGTTCAGGACTTTCCTTTATATCCATCACAACATGGGCTGGTTGGCAGGGGAAGAGTGGTGGTTTTTAAACATAATTGGATAGACATAGGGTAGGTAGGTAGGTAGGTTGATGATTGACATGAAACTTGTCAGCTGGTCCAAGCTGTATATTTTCTTCGGGAGCATCTTCCTAAAAGATCTCCTTTCTGTACTAAGTTCCCACATAGTGTGCAAAGTGATAAAGTCATCTTTTGAAGCCAGCCGTGGTGGCGCACGCCTGTAATCCTAGCACTCTGGGAGGCAGAGGCAGACAGATCTCTCTGTGTTTGAAGCCAGCCTGGTCTACAAAGTGAGTTCAGGAAAGCCCAGGCCACATAAATATATCCTATCTCAAAAAACAAACAAAAGATCTTTCTGAGATTTGAGGCCTGAGTGGACTTAACTCCCAGAGAAAGGAGCATCTCCTCCTAGCAGCCGGAATCGATAACGCTAAAGACTGCTGCAAAGTCAAGCTAAAAAGTGAAATGGATGGTGTATTTTAAGTTCAGTTAGTTTATGTATATGAAAACTTAACTTTTTATGATGAACTGCTTCAGAGCTACAAACTTAAAAAATGACATAGTAAAAGCCAAATAAATAGGTACGTATATGTATCTATGTCTGCATGTGTGCGTGCACATATCCATCCCGTGTCCCATGAAGAGAGGCGTGTAGCCAGGAGGGACCTCTGTCTCCTGAACTTTTTCCTCACCCTGTGGTTGGCGTGTTGTGCCACTCATCTCTGAAGAAGCATGTCAGCTGCTGGTCATTTCCCTTCCCTTGGTATCGGGCCGACATCAGGCTCGAGACTGAAGCCAGTTATGCATCATGGACTGTCTCCCAGCTGACAAGAAACTAACCCTTAGAGTTCTCTTAGGAACCAATCTGATATATACATACAGTTTTGAGATATGAGAACTCATCAAGAATGTATTCTGATTAACTCCCAAGTTGCATGTCTTTTGCATAATTGAGCTGGTTGAGTAGGAGTGATAGAGTAACTCTTTAGGTATGAAAGCATGTGCTGTAGGCAGGGGAGGTGCGTTGAAATTGTGCTCATATTGGCAGTGGTCCAGAAATAGGACCCATGTTGAAACTGTTTAAGCTTGTGATCCGTGTATGAACAGCAGTTCTTTTGACCATCTTTGGAGCTAAGAGTCTTGGTGGTGAGAGCATTAACATGTTTGAGATTTCTTAAAAAGTCATTGCTGATTTTCGGTTTCACTCTTATTTCCACATTTACTCATAATCTCGCTTTTGTGTGTGTTCATTCATTTGTAGAGTATAAATGGCATTCGCACAGAGGAGGTGGCTATCGTGACAAAAGGGCCTCCCACCCACCCTGCCTCTGAATGGGAGTGCCCCAGGCAGTCAGTAGTTCCTAGTCAGAGCCTGACGACCACCCCACCAGCGTCTCCACAGAGCTTTGATTCTGGCTCCCTCTCCATAAACAGCAAGGAGGCGGAAGAGAAGGAGCAGGAGGCAGCTGGCTATCTTGATGCTAGCGAGAAGCCAACAGGCCCAAGTGGGGAGTGTTTGGGAGTGGAGGAGCAGGCCAGTACCTTAAGTTTCTCAGTAACTCCAGCTTCCTGCCAGCTGCAGCTCGGTGAAAAAAAGGCAGACAGTAATGAAGAGCCAGTTGCACCAGCAGAGACCCTTGAGAGCCAGAGCGGATCCTTTCTTGACTCTTCTGTGGGTAACCAGTTCCCCACCCTCATTCGAAGTTTCCAGGTAGTAGCTGATGTGACAATGCAGGTTTACTGACACTCTTTGGGAGAGGGTCAGAATCTGGTCTATGGAGGAGGTGGCAGTGGTGGTGGTATGGCCTCTGCCATTTTCAGGGTCAGAGTCAAAGTGAAGCCTTTGCCGTCAGGAAACTCAGTCAGAGGAATTAGCTCTGGCTAGTCACGCTTTCTCTTCTGATGACTTGACAACACTCTCAGGAATAAACTCTCCAGTTGTTTACCTTCAAGGAGCTGGTGTAAGTTTGCTCCTCTTTCCTTCCTCAAGGACGAGCTTTGGCAAGAGATGAATTACAGAGACTCCTGTGGGCCAGGGCCTTCAGGGCTCTGAGACCATGCTCAAAAATTTTGCAGTACTCCTCACTAACATTTGATTTTTAAGTGAGAATTTATTCTGCTACGTTATGCGGGCCGCCACCGCCCCTGCCACTGCCCCCTCATAGGGTTTCTGTGATCATAGGCACTAACCTCTGCACTAAGGTGAGTGGCCACTTAACTCTCTCACAATCACATGGTAGTTTTAGGGTGACTGATATCCTGGGAACGGTGACGAGATAGGCAAAAAGGCCCATGCCATTCTACTAATGTTCATTCTTTTGGAATTCTGAAATTAATCACCAGGTGGTGGGAGAGCTGATTTTTTTTTCTTTCTGGTTTTCCAAATACTATTTCTTCCCTAAATCCAAAGTGAATGTCTAACATTGATTTGAAAGAAGTTAATGAATTCCAAGGAAATGTGTTCCAGGGCCATTGCTGCTTCGTGTACATTTGTACTGAGTGGGGAGATGTGTCTGGTTTTCTTAATTGCAATGTACAGTCACAAGGACGAATGAAAGTGATTTCTCTTTGGCAGATAATTTTATATTCAAATTCTGAAGGTCAGTTTGAAGTGTTTTATGTCACCGGTCATAAACTGGTGTTCTAATTTTCCATTAAGCTTATGAAAGTGACTACAGTAATGTCGCTTTTAATACCCTTCTCAAGATGTAGCACCTTGTCAGGGCCTCTTGGAAATTGTGTCCTTTGGAGAGTGACTCCAGCCTTTGCTTGATTCAGGCTAAGGCTTTGATCAGATCAGGGCCAGAAAGTTTAGCTCTCTACTGCCTGCAGGAAGATTTGGCCAACTCTGTTTCTTACTGTCCACAGCCTCCTCTGGTAAAGACTCAGACTGTCACCATCTCAGATTCTGCCAATGTTGTGAAAAGTGAAATCCCAACCAAAGATGTCCCTATTGTCCACACTGAGACCAAGACCATCACCTATGAGGCTGCCCAGGTAAGCCACCATCTGATGCTTCAGAACAGAGACTGGACGGGAGACAGGGAATGGTTTCTTCCTTCAGGGTTTACTCACTTACTGCCGGTAACACCAGGCTTCCCAGGATAGTTCTTTCTAGATCACTGACTTAAGGACATCCAAATATTTTTCGTTCAGAGCAGACCGAGGGCCAGGAATCTGGACAGCTCAGTTCATGAGTGAGCATGCATGAAGACGTAGGTTCAGTCCCTGAATCACATAAAAACCAGGTCTGGTCTGGGCTGGGAAGATGGTTCAGTTGGCAAACATGTGCCTCACACCATGAGGGCCTGGCTTTAGACCATTCCTCCCGCCCCAATTCTTGAGATGGAAGCTTGAGGGCCTACTAGTCTGACCTGTGTGTCCGTGAAAGACCCTGCCTCAAACGAGAGATGAAAAGCACGTGAGAACTGCTACCTGTAGCTGTCCTCTGACCTCTACATATGTGGAGCTGCACCTACTTGTGCGCATACACGCATAGAAAAAGCTAAAAAAAGAAAAACTGGGTGTGGTTGCTGCACACTGTAATGCCAGCACTTTGGATGTGGAGGCAGATGGATCAGAAGTTCAGGGTCATTCTCAGTTACATAATGAGTCTGAGGCCAGCCTGGGCTACACGAGATCCTTTCTCAAAAATAATTTATCAGCCAGGTATGGTGGCCCATGCATGTAATCCCAGCACTCCACGAGGCAGAGGCAGGAAGATCACTGTGAATTCGAGGCCAGCCAGGGATACAAAGTGAGTCCAGGACAGCCAGGGCTACACAGAGAAACCTTGTCTTAAAACAAACAAACAAACAAACAAACAAACAAACAAACAAACAAACCAAAAATACTAAAATAAAATGTCAGGGCTGAGGGTTTAACTCTTGATGTGTGTGAGGCCCCAGTTCAGCACCAAAGAGCAAATGAAATTACCATAGATCTGTTCATGTCCATCCTCCTGAGTCATTTGAGCAAGTTATTCTAATGTGATGAAGAGCATGGGCTTTGGGTCAGATAGACCTGACCTTGGACTCCTCTGTTTTCTAACTTGTACAAGTCATTAAGACTTGGCCAGCCCTGCTAATGATGTTCGTGTCTGTGTCATGGAATTATTATGAAAGTTTAAATTTTTAAAGTTATTTTACTTCCTAATTACAGTGAAACTTCATCATCATTTTTGGTAATTTGAATGAGCTAGAGTTGTGTTCTGTTGAATTCTTTTTTGGTCACAGAAGGCAAGAAGTTAATCCTCTATAAGATGAGCTCTTAATTCACTTCTACAACAGATGTTTATTGAGCTTTTATGTGTTAAGTCAAAGTGGTGTAAGGGTAGGCAATCCCTACCTTCTAGGGAACATTCTAGTAAGGAGAGAAGGGTAGGCAATAAAGTTCTGTAACAGCCAGACCCAGTGACCCACAGTAGAATCCTTGCACTTGAGGTAGAGGCAGGTGATTGGGAGTTTGGGGCTCTCCAATTGGCCTGAAAGACCTTGACTAGGTCTTTAACAACCAAAAATGAAAAACAACCACATAAATAAACATCAGACACTAGAAAGTTCTGTAAAGAAATTCAAATGGGCAAAGAGATAATCCAGGGAGCTGGGGCTGAGGCTTGGGTAGAGCACAGAGCAGCGGGACAACTGTGTGGCTCTGGCTGGACACTGAAGAGCTTTGCAGTCAGCCTTCCCAACACCTTGAGCTAGATGATGTTTCACCCTCAGGAAGCTTGTCCTTCCTCAGGGTAAAGCATGTGCTTTGCAATTAGGCACAGCATTGGATCCCCGAAAGGGGAGAGCTGCTTGCTAGATGATCGTAGGGAAATCACCAGCCTCTCCATTGCCTGGGCTAGAACCACTTATGGATGCAAGATTTGCTGGAAGTTTAGGTGAAATGGTGTCTTTCGAGTGCTGGCGTCTCCACGATGTTCAGTCAGTCTGTGTGTGCTCCTCTCTTGTGGTGTAGAGTGTGGGATTTCATTTGGTAAATGACAAGTTGCTTTGCATTTTTTGGTGGTGGGTGATAAAGTAGCATCATTAAAGCAGTGGCCTTTTAAAGATGATTCCTAAAGCTCTGTATTGACTTTATTAAAGTAGGGGCAGGCCTGGAGACAAGGTTAAGACCAGAGCAGATCTGAGGAGATGGTTGTAAGAACAGAAGTAAGTGTCGCCTTAGGAAATGAGAAGAGAAAGACCTGTCAGTCAAGAGAGACTGAAAAAAGCTATCAAGTAGGCCTTAGCATGGGAGGGGACTGAAGAAGAAGAAAAGAAAAATTGCTTCATGATTATACACAATATTAGCCTGAGGATGCAGAAGGGAACTACGTGATATGCAAAGGAATAGATCCTTTAAATTGTCACTGCCATGGAAACAACCTAAATGGCCTTCAGTTGGGGTATTGGCTAAATAAACTTTGGAACATCCTATTGAGGTACTTCTGTGGGGCTTCCGCTGGGGAAGTCTACATGATAAATGAATGAATGAGTAATATGGCCAAACATGGGAATCATATCTTTTGTTCCTGGGCAGAGTATGGGAGGGGGTATAGCCATAGTATGTGAGAGCTGTGTGTGACATGGCCTTGAGTAGCAATACATTCTCTCTGGATGGATACCTAAAGATAAGGGGCTGAAGAGATGGCGTAGTCAGTAAAGTCTTTGCTATACGAGTATTAAAACCTTAGTTCAAATCCCAGCACCCATGGAAAAAGCCAGGGTCAGGGGGAGCACCTGTCAGAGCCAGGGATCAGGGGTCAGGAGACAGGAGGATCCCTAGAGCTCACTGGCCAGCCAGCCATATAAATTGATGAACTCTAAGGTCAGTGAAAGAGCTCATTTCAAAAAACAAGATAGAAGCCAGGTGTGGTGTTGCACCCCTTTAATCGCAGCACTCAGAGGCTGAGGAAGGCCGACCTCTGAGTTTGAAGCTAGCCTGGTTTATATAGGCCAACCAAGGCTGTATAGTGAGACTCTGTCTCAAAAACAAGCAAACAGCTTCTTCGGGAAAACACCAAATGATAGATGACGCTGGTGCAGCGGGAGGGCCTGGAAGACCTGGGGGCCCAGGATTGGCGGTCTTAGGGGCCTAAGACCCACATTAGTGGTCGAGGCCATGGGCATGGCCAAGGCTGAGGGGCTCATGGAGGTTAAGCTGAAGACAAGGAGTGGATCCCTGTCACCATGCTGTGCCATCTGGTTAAGGACATGAAGATAAAGTCCTTAGAGGAGATCTACCAGTTCTCCCTGCCCATTAAGGAATCCAAGATTATGGGCTTTTTCCTGGGTGCATCCCTAAAAGATGAGGTTCTAAAATTATGCCAGTGCAGAAGCAGACACGGGCTGGCCACCAGACTAGGTTCAAGGCTTTTGTCACTAATCGGGATATGATGGCTACGTTGGGCTTGGTGAGGTGCTCTAAGGAGGTAGCCACTGCCATTCGAGGAGCCATCATCTTGGCCAAGCTTTCCATCGTCCCTGTGTGGAGAGGCTATTGGGGCAACAAGATTGGAAAGCCCAACTGTTCCGTGCAAGGTGACAGGCCGCTGTGGCTGTTTTGATGCGTCTCATCCCTGTCCCCAGAGGCACTGGCATTGTCCTGTGCCCAAGAAGCTACTCGTGACGGCCAGTATTGATGACTGCTACATCAGCCAGGGGCTGCGCTGCCACCCTGCGCAACTTTGCCAAGGCCACCTTTGATGCCATCTCCAAGACCTACAGCTACCTGACCCCTAACCTCTCAGAAGAGACTGTTTTCACCAAGTCTCCTTATCAGGAATTCACTGATCAGCTTGTGAAAACCCACATCAGAGTCTCTGTTCAGCGGATGCAGGCTCTACCTGTGGCTATCACATAAGGGTTTTTATACAAGAAAAATAAAGTGAATTAAATCTGTTAAAACAACAACAACAACAACAAATGAATAAATAAGATGGAGAGCAGTTGAGGAAGATACCCTTTGTTAACCTCTGGTGTCTACAGGCAAACACACCTCCATACACATATGTACACATTTATACACAAACACGTCTACACCACACACACACACACACACACACTCAAGGAATGAAAAGAGAATAGAAAGTGAGCTAGGTATGTGGCTCACCTCTACTCCTAGAACTTGGGAAACTGAGGCGGTAGGACCATGAGTCCAAGCCCAGCTTGGGCCCAGTGTAACACAAACAAAAACAGAAACAAAAACAAAAAATCATGTAAAAGAAGTGTGGCTCTGCCAGAGAGTGGTGGTACACGGTCTTGATCCCAGCGCTAAGGAGGCAGAGGCAGGCAAATCTCTGAGTTTGAGGCCAGCCTGGCCTACAAAGTGAGTTCCAGGATACTCAAGAAGAAAGCGTGGCTTCAGCCTGATGGTGGTGGCAACACATACCTTTAATCCCAGCACTTGGGAGACAGAGGCGGACGGATCTTTGAGTTCTAGGACAGCCAGGGGTTTCTATACAGAGAAACCCTGTCTTGAAAAAGAAAATAAGAAGGAAAAAAAAAAAAAGTGTGGCTCCAAGCGTAAGTGTGGAACTAAAGGCTGGGAATGGTGGCACATGCCTTCAATCCAAGCACTCAGGAGGCAGAGGCAGGTGGATCTCTGAGAGTTTGAGACTCGTCTAGAGAGTGAGTTCCAGGACAGCCAGAACTATACACAGAAACCCTGTCTCAAACAAACAGGGGCTGGAGAGATGGCTCAGCAGTTTAGACCACTGGCTGCTCTTCCAGAGGTCCTGAGTTCAATTCCTAGCAACCACGTGGTGTCTCACAGCCATCTGTAATGGAATCTGATGCCCTCTTCTGGTGTGTGTGTGTGAAGACAGAGCACTCATATTAAAACCAAAACCAAAACACCAACTAACCAAGCAAACAAAAAAGACAGACCGCTTGGAAATAGGAGGGAGGCTGACCATTTAAACTTCATGTTGAAATTTTAAATCTTTGTGGCAAGCCTGGTAGTGCAGACCTTTTTGTGTTTTTTATTTTTATTACTAGTTATATTTTATTAACTCTGTATCCCAGCTATATTCCGCTCCCTCATTCCCTCCCAATCCCACCTTCCCTCCCTCATCTCCTCCCTGCCCCTTTCTAAGTCCACTGCTTGGGGAGGACCTCCTCCCCTTTCATCTGACCCTGTTTTATCAGGTATCTTCAGGACTGGCTGCAAAGTCCTCTTCTGTGGCCTAGCAGGACTGCTCCTCCCTTGGGGGGTGTGGAGGTCAAAGAGCCTGCCATTGAGTTCCTGTCAGAAATAGTCCCTGTTCCCCTGGTGCAGACCTTTAATCTCAGCTATTCATGAGGTCTGAGAATTGAGTTCAAGGCCAACCTAGGCAACTGAATTCCCTATCTCAAGATTTTTTTTTAATGCAGGGTAGTGGGGCTCAGTCAATAGAGTACTTGCCCAGCCTGCGTCTGACGCCCTGGGTCCTGCCCTCAGAACCTTATAAAATGGCGCTTCTTATTCTGGTGACTTACACCAAGAGGAGGGACTTATCTACGGCATGTCTGGCTGGTACCCTTTATGGAAACAGTTTTCGTTCTCTGAAACCCGTGCTCGCTGTTTCTGGTCTGCTATCTAGACAGCACTCACTGTAGGTAAACGCCGTCGTTACCCCGCTTTCCTCTCTCTCGGCCGTGGAGGCCTGTGCAGCTTTAGCTGCCCACATGCCTGCTGATGATGATTGTTCCTGGCCTCTGCCACCATCTCTTAAGCTTCTTGCTAATGTCGTTTCTTAGCTATCCATAATAAGCAGCCTTGGTCCTTGTTTGCAAAGCCTGGCATTTAAAGCACTTGAGTGCCTCCCAGCAAGGAGGAGCCCCTACAGTAAAGCCTTTGGTGCATGTGCCCTGCTTTCTCATGGGTGCTCACTTCCTGCTTCCTTTGCTCAGTTCCTGGCTCAGCTGTCGTAGGTGAATGGTTCCCTCACCTTTTCACTCTGTGGTGTAGCTCACTCACACCCTTGGATGTGTATAAAGAACATGAGGTCTGATGACAACACAGCGATCCCTCTCGGGTGTTGTAGTAATTAAAAAAATAAATGAGTGTTGGGCTATATTATGTTTATTATTAGCCCTAACATTATCATGGCGGTATTATTTTACCCGCTATCACAAATACTAAGACACAGACACCTGTTAGATTTATAATTGCCTCATTTACCTTGGGCCCGTCAGATATTTCACTTACACTGTCGCAATATCCTCACCATCCATCTCCCAGCCCCCCTCCAATGCCATCCACCTTAATCCTCATCTGGTCTCCCTTCCATCCATCATCCCATGGTACTTGCTTGTATTTTTCATCTGAACCTTTTCCACCGTTATTGGAGTCTTTCCTCTTGGCCCTCGTTGTTTTTCTCTCCATACTAACCCATTGTGGGGTCCTTCTTTTTCCTCTCTTCGTCCATTGGTCACCTGTGATTCTCTTGAACCCGATGCCTCAGAGCCTTAGCCACACCAACCCCATCTTGCCCTGCCCAGATATAAGCCATTTAATCAACCAGTCACATCTTAGGCAGGTTTACAAAACAAGGATAGTATAAGGAGATCCTGAGGGCCAATATTAAACCAGCCCCTAACACTCAGGTTTTTGGGGTTTGTTTGTGTTTGGTTTGGTTTGGTTTGGTTTTTGTAGTCCTGGCTGTCCTAGAATCAATCAGTCTGTAGACCAGACTGATCTTGAACTCAGAGATCTGCCTGCCTCTGCTTCCCGAGTGCTGGGACTAAAGGTGTGTGCCACCACTCCCGTCGAGGTGTCAGTTTTCTGACCAGAGGGTGTGAACAGGTCCCTCCCTGCTGTGGCTCTCATAGGACAGCTTTAATAAAGATGCTTCAGAGGCCGCCTGTGAGCTGCAGGTGTGTCCCCTGTGTATCTTGGAGGCACTCGTGAAGCTGTGCCCCACTTCTTCTGCCTCTTTCAGACCCACTCCAGTTCCTGACCTAGTGCTGAGGGACTTATACTCATCAACATTTGGGGGAGGGGGCGGCAGGACACTATGCAGCTCTGGATATCCTAGAAGTTACAGACCAGGCTGGCCTCAGACTCAGAGATCTGCCTGCCTCTACCTCCCACATGCTGGGATCAAATGTGTGACTTCATTCAACTTTTTTGTTTGGTTGGGTTTTTTTGAGATAGGGTCTCACTATGTAGCTCCTGCTCTCCTAGGACATTGGATCTCTTGGAGTTGGAATTATAGATGGTTATGAGCTGTCATGTGGGTGTTAGGAAGAAGGATGCTATCAAACCTAGGTCCTCTGGAAGAACAACCAGTGCTCCTTAGACACTGAGCCATCTCTCTAGCCCTGCTCATCAACTTTTCAGAAGGAGCTTTGTTCCCAGGATGCTGGTTCTGATCACTCTCAGATTTGAGAGTGAGGGAATTAGATTTTTTTTAAAAAGAAGAATGTATAGCTGAAGAGCCATGTTGTGCCTGGGCCTTTGCCCCGTGGTCTCCTGAGGGGCCTGATGACTTTTCCTTTCTTCTGCAGACTGAGGACAGCAATGGGGACTTAGACCCTGGAGTCTTGCTGACAGCTCAGACCATCACATCTGAGACCACAAGCAGCACAACCACAACACAGATCACCAAGGTAACGGAGCTCCCAGCAGCCTCCTGAGCTCGGTGCCACCCTCCATAGAGCAGACCTCCATAAGCAATGGCTCTCTGCTCCGTCACTTTTGTGTTATGTTACTCAAAGTGTCCCAGGTGGAACGACCTGATGCCTTCCCCAGCATACACCTGGGAATGCCACACATTAGTCTCAGTGTATATCTGTTCACCTTGCTGGGGAGGAAGTCTCAATTCAGCTTGCGACAGGCGTATATCTGTGGCAGAGCACCTGCCTACCTGCACAGGCTGGAGGGTCCAGCCTCAACATGCATATACACACAGGCACACAAACGCGCACACATGGACAGTTAAGGACATGGATTGTTCCTATGGTACAGTCATATTTGTTGAGCTAGCAAACAGATCCCTGACCTCATGAATCAGTTTGTCTTGCATCCTGAGGCCATGGAAACCATTGTTTGGAGCTGAAATGCTGAAATCATCAGACTGCTTTGTAGGAAACAATGGGGATGAAATGTCAGAAACTGGAATTATCCTCAGAAAATCAGGCAGACCATGTTTTCTGTAGTACTAGAAGAAATGCCCCTGCTTGCTTGCTTTCTCTTTCTTTCTTTCTTTCTTTCTTTCTTTCTTTCTTTCTTTCTTTCTTTCTTTCTTTCTT